TGTACAATTTGTTTCCCTCTTCGTAATTACGTGAATCTAATCGGTTATAAATTTAAGCATTGGCTCCTTTCGCCCAGCTGAATAACCACAACACCCCAACTAAATCAACCACACGAAAAAGGGAAACATACTGGCACATCTTGGCATGGCATTATTGCGTCAGCTTATACTCAATTCATCGAATCATCGCAGATATACTTCAACCGAGAGAAAAGTCAACATACATTTGCGCCTACCGTGGATAATAAAAAATACATATGAGTTTTTACTAATCGTCTTGGATAACCTGCTGATAGTTGGAGCTATATTTCATAGACTAGCATAAGACTATGAACGATTAAAAGTGCCGAAAGAGATGCGTTTCAATATGCGTCGTACATCAGATAAAATCGATGGTCTTCTGGTTACGTCAGAGAAAAGAAAATGTATCACCAACGCCCACGGATATAGTCGCGCAGTATTTCGTGGGGCATCCATAAATCACGATTTTGTCGCCCGTGCGTTAACAACGACTATTTTTCTTGTTTCATAAAGCTTCGTTCTTTTCTTTTATGTTTTTTGTTCGTCCATGGCCGGAAGTCGCACAGGTGACTGGCGAAGGGAGGGACAGAGAAAACAAGGCTGCGTCCCATTGGGCATACTTTTTCATTAATAAAGCCACTTAATGAACAGCAGCTTGGCATATTCACATGCTATGAAGTGATTAACAAGGTGAAGGAGAAATGCATTTTCATGCTTTACTGTTTTAATTAAGCATTGTCACTTACTTCCCCTCCACTACCTCGGCTGTTATAATAGACTTGGTTAGTTGGTTTTATACTCTGGATTGGGTTATTATATAAACTTCTGTCGATACCATGCTTTGATAAATCAGACAATGGCTAACTTATATACAAGTATATTTACCAGTGGTAATGATGTTGATTAGACCAGACATCGCTGCAAGGACTTTGGTTTTTTTGGTGAGAAATTACAGAGTCAAACGTAATCAAAGGTAATAAGTTTTGAGAATGGGGATGATAATAAAAAAACGGATTGTTTATTAGTTCGAGTTGCTTCTTTTGTAAATGATAAACTACCTTATAAGCTTTTGTATGATGCATCGCCTCATATAGAGTAGCTAAATATGCTCCCTTGAGATTTCTTATGAAAGATTGCTTCATTGTTTCGTTTTTGGATATAAGTACAATGAACCGGAAATGGATGGTCTGTATTTATTTACTGATAGATGATGTTAAATAAATGATTATGCCAAGAAATATACTTTTATTATTTTTTGAAAATTTAATCGTAACATTGACACCTACATTCATGGCCAGTTATAGCGCAGTTTTCAAATCGAAGTAAGCCATCGACGCCGTTGAATCAAGTTTCTCATAGCTGGCAAACTATCGATAACAGACTGCGAGTGGATTAATGATCGTTAGCAGAAGAAAATTTTCAAGTACGAGAGAGGGTCGTCAAGAGTGAGAGAGAAACGTGGCTAGCAAACTACGTGCTTCGATTACTCAAGAGTCTTTGTGTACGCGACTGCAGACAAGATCGAGAAGATTAAAACGAGAACAATTCAGCTGCGTCTTCGCTGATTAACTTAGCAATGCGCGTATTACGTAAATTATGGTGCAGGCGATAAGCTACATAAGCAACTCTTCCGAGACTTTTTATCGCGAGAAGAAGAAAAGACGGTTTTCATCTCACTCTGACTGCGTGATATAGTGGACGACGTAATTTCGTCAATTTACTCGTAATTGGTTTAAATCAATTTTGGCCTCGTAAATCTTGAGTTGCGCGCGTGCCGAGGATGTTTATGGAAGCGAACTTTACCGTACACACATACACACACACACACACACACACAGCATACGTAAAAGTTGTGAGCATTGATTTATTCGCAAGCTTGGTTATTTCTGTTGATAATATGGCCATCCTCTCCGCTTGCATGGAAATATAATTCTTCCGCGTGTACGCGTGCATTATTTCAGTGCTTGTACCCGCTACGTCATTGTCGCTAACAATGTTATATACTACAGCCATTTTATCGAAATTTCAATTCCAATTGCCAAATGATTGTACACCGCCGTATTTTTAATGAGATGGCCGTTGCGTTAGAATACAGCTCAAAATTAAAACTAGGTACATTGTATGATCAAAACCAGGCGAATGGGGTGTATATAGAGTTCCATATAAATTATACTTTGCACGCTGGGGAGCGCGTTCGTAAATTAACTTTACTTCTTATGAAAGCCATTTCTCTGAAGGAAAAATAGCCGAGGACCACCCTGCGTATCAGCATTCTTTTCTGCAAGATACCTTCCTTTCTTGCCTTGAGTGATACAGCGATGTCATTTTGAGTAACCTCTTGTCTTATATATCAAAAGCAATGTCGCAAATATGTCGTGTATACAAATGCAACAGTGTTCTTATACTCCCCCCGAAAAATAATCCAATGCTCGAATGAAAACAAAATTTTACGGCTTCTATAGCTTCCGATTAAGTGTAGATTGCATTTTGGAAATATGCTCTCATATTTTTCAGCTCTATTATAATTTGAAAAGTCACTTATCGGAGAAATTGAAGCGACATTATGGATACGTTACTGAAGTCGAGTATAATAAAAAAATATGGAAGATTGATAGACTTGTTTGCTTTCTTCGAGTATTAACGATTATTTAAGCTAGTGATGTTTTTCAGAACTAAATTAAAAAAAAAACTATTTTAAATAACGCATTTCTACATAAAATATCTCTGAATTTGGAATGCTATTACAAAGTGATATCTATAAGTACAAAAAAAGTACGAAAGCCTTATCAAATTTTCAAAAATATCTTACACCCAACAAGATAAATTACTTATGAAGAATAATCCGATCTCGCACAGGGAATTCGTATCGCGCAACGCGATGCGCGTAGTAGAAAGAAGTAAGAAGTAGGAGGACAAAAGTTCTCCCGCGAGATAGGCTAATTTCCTTTATTGTGCTGCTGGGAAAAGTTCGCAGCCAACAAACCGCATCCGATGTACTTTCGCGGGAATATCGCCAACCGTGCGTTTCGTGCCAAACGAGGAAAACGCGCAATGCGATATTCCGCTACTGTGCTGAAAGCTGCTTGCCCACACACTTTCCTACGTATTGTGCGTTTGTATGCGTTTTCACGTGACCGTATGCTCATTTTACCTTTACTTTTCAAAGATAAATTTCAGTTTATTACTTCGGTATTTTCGTTTACTTTGATTGCATTTTTGCATTTTCGAAACCTTATTCGGGAGATTTTTACTCTTCCGGCTATCTCGTAATAGAAAGCTATTTCAAATTCAAAAATTCATGACAGACAAAATACTTGAACCCAGTCGAGAGCAGCGTGTAAAATAAAACTGCACACTCGTGATATCGCACATCAATCAGTGCAAGAGCAGAAAAACGGCTGTGCAGCGTAGAGAGAGAAAAATCGGTGCGCATGAAATGAGCAGGAAGGAGAAGCGGGCATAGCGGAAAACTGGCAGTTGATGTGCAAAAGCACTTCAAAAAGAGAGACAGAGAAAAAAAACATACACACATGCACACGCACACGCACACGCACACGCACATGCACACGCACACGTACACGCGCACGCGCACGCGCACAGCAGTCACACATGTGGCAGCCGATGCTACGGGAGATAGAAAAGAAGTGGAGCAAAAAGAAAAGGGGGAAAAATCAATGGGTAAGAGCGAGATGCAGTAGCGGCTCAAAAACGTCTGCATCCTGAAAATACGATAGCTCGTACCTACATACATTGTATTCTTTGGTCGTGGCTGCGCGACGCCCCTTCTATATCTCCTTTTTCCCCAACCGCACGACATGACGATGCGAGGGTGTTTGTATAACCAGCCTCGCGCGTCCAGTAAAATTCGGGTCAAATGACACGAAGATGTATACTATGTTGCGTTTCCTTTCTCTCTCCCTCCCGACACGTATGCAGAAAGAAGGCTATATACTTACGCAAGTACTAGGCTAAATATCTGTTATTGTGTATATATATGAGCCTCGCAATCACAAACGGCGAGACTGAAGAATGGAAATCTTCTGGTGTGCTTGGCGTTTAGGTGTATCGTGTCAAGTAAAGCTTTTCTGATAAAACTGATAGTCCGTTGCTTTTTATCTTTCTTTTCTTAGTACTTCTATTGTTGGATAGATAGAATAAATTTCAGTGAAATTATAGTACAAAGTTTTTCGCGTAATTAGTTTCTAAGTCGATAAATTCTTCAAGCCAAGTAGAATAGTAGTACGTTTAGTCGGACAGGCCGAAGTTGACCTGGATGCTTTTCACGAAAAATAAAAGTCGAAAGCAAATCAAATGTAAATATTTTGTAACAACTAAACATTAATCGAATGACGAAGCATTTGAATAGCCGCGCACTACATCACTATTCGAACAAACATCTGCATGAAGGGTGAATGACTGGCGTCGCTGCTGCTCTCAGTAAAGTTGGGCCACATTTGGAGTGTGGTTTCGAGCTGTGCAGCGGTCTCGCAGTCTGTGTGCTGGATCCCTTTATTTACATTTCAAATGACGATTTTACGTGTCTTAACGCCGTTTTAATGAATTCGCGCCTGTCTACTCCTACTCCATCATGTAATTATTAAATTGAAGTGTGCACTCGAAATAGAAAGGAGTGTAATCCGAAATCAGAGCCTTCACAAACTCGTCGCTAATTGATACCATCGGCAACTTCGAGCGTGTAGGTTTTTTTATTCAGGCTTTGCTTTTATCGGATAAATTCATCAGTGAAGCTCATTGTATCGAGGTTAAGTGCATGTTTTATTGCTTAGATTACTTGCAAATACTCCATTTACAAATATCCATTTAGAGTATTAATTTTATCAGGGTAGGAATCGTTAATTTTTCTTGTTTTTAATTGTAGAATTAAATACTTCGATAAATTCGATTTGTCGTTAGTAGAGAAAATTAATCCCGTAAACTGAATGCCTGAAGACATTCTTTAAATTTCATATAATTTTTTATTGACAAATAGTGTGCAGAATTTATAAAACTTCGTTGTAACGGAAATTTTAAAGAAAATTTTCTACTGACAGATAGTTGAGTTGTCGATTTCTTTTTTAGCTGAAACGATTTTGAGATTCTATATTTATTGTGATCAGATATCGGCAAATTCACTATCAATTTTTTTAATCAGAAAAAAATATAAACGTTAACTTGGATAAAAGTGAATGATTTTCAGCCTTAAGGTGGATTTATTTTTATTTTAAATGCACTTTTTCCACTATTCTGTAAGCAATTTCTTGGAAAATCAAAACACAATATCACTCTTTTTTCAATGTAACGCCTTGTGACATGCCGCCGTATAGTAAATATTTAATTTACAGTTCCCTCGCTGATTGGAATATTTTATGGTGGGTATTTTGGTTCATTGTACCTCAATTTTTATGCGTTCCCAAAAAAGGTCCACGTCAGCCGGTGTGCAATATTGATTTTCACCCTATTCTGCCTGCAGTTTTCCAGATGGATATTCAAAAGTTCATCTGTAAAAATAGAAGAAGAGTCCATAGTTTGTAACGTGATTTTTAAGTTGAGACTCGTTATAAAAATATTTTAAAGCGACTATCGTAGAACGGAAAAGCTTCGCATTGGTAAAAAAAAGTCGAAAAGTAAAAAGGAAATACGATATAAATATCAAGAATATTTGCTTGATTAAACACCTATTTTCATACTCACTAACTTGTATTGCTTCTTTCTTTTGTTGCTAGTGCGCGAAAAAAGCGATAGATAACTTTGTGTTTATAAAGATGATGGAGTTTGCACGAAATATATAGGTGCTTCATATTGATGTGCCATATGTTATCTGAGTACATTAAATCATTAATTTCAGTTCATAGTTGCACGCTATACTATAAGCTTTATAGATACAGGGCCATTAGCGTGTTTAGCTTCACGTGCTACATAAAACAGTTAGGTTCCATTCACTAATTGGGGTCGTTCAACTACAAACCGCTATCCACAAACACTTTTCTGTTGGTTTTTTTCTTTCTTCGGTTATTTCTTCTAGTTATTTATACGTACGTTTTTATATCTTACTGAATTATTCATTTCGTTGCTGGAAATTTTAAGGAATTGCTCTTAGCAAGGTCATGTTCCATTACCATGTGCGCCTAGATTTCATTAAATTATTACTATACACCATCGTTAATTCCTCAAGTTTGTTTGCAGGATTTTACACACGTCGTACCATCTCTAAACTTTTAACTGTTATTTTCATCACCGCGCATTTTCATAAAACTCTAGCACTGAGAACGCAATATACAGCGTTATTGTCCTGTCTGTCTGTCTCTCTCTCTCTCTCTCTCTCTCTCTCTCTCTCTCTCTCGCTCTCGCTCGCTTCCTGGTAAACGTCTTCCATTGAATGTGTCTTTATTCACAAAGCGCAATCTGATAAAAGTGTGAGATCAAAGCCCAGAGAGTGTACGATTGAACAAACAAGCAGTAGCTCTCTCCCTAGAAACTATATGCCTCAGTCATAAGCGTGGGACGAGTAAATGGGCCAAAGAGACGAGTCGACGACGACGGTACTCATAGAAAATTGCCACAGCTAAAGAAAGCCATCCAAAGGAGGGAATACGACCCACGCACTTGCGCTCTGGGAAATTGCTGCGAAAAGGTATTTTTGACGTTATTGTTTGTGACGGCGGACATTACAGTGCGTCGTCGTTGCCGGCTGGATTGTTTTGAGTGCACGTAGGTCATTGAGCTGTTGATGGCAATTAAAAAGAACGAATTGTTGGAATCAATTTATATTTTGTAAGCTTTGTCGAGATTTCATAAATTGTGGCCGAATTCATTCATTTAGCTTCTCTAGACTGAAGATATAAAAAGAGTTTTTATTTTTTTTTTGTCATATAGAAATCAATAAATGATATTTTTCAAAAGAGAAAAAATGTGAAGTATTTTGTTTGAACAATCATCTAACTGAATGTTTAAATTAGGATAGAGATTTTTTTAATAGGCATGTAATAAATTAGTGTTGTAGTTTATCATTTCCGTAGATTCGCGCTTCATCTTCACACTTTTGTCAATGTGATCCAACGCATGTATATATTGTGTTAGAAGTTATGGAAGTCAATACTTGTTACGAATTTTATGACAAACTTTCGGTATCGCCACAAAAAATAAAATAAATCCGTGGCATACGTGGTTATGATGAGCCATATAAAGAAAGAAGCTTAATATAAAACTGAGTAGCAAGGATGTATCGCGAGATTGGGCAACACGTTAGTCAGCAGCAGCTGCAGTAGGTCGCTAGAAGCGTTTAAGCTATAGCTTATCGATCAGCATATAGGTTTAATTATTTAGATAGCGCTCGCTTGTGAACGCTAATTCCCGATGAATTTACTCTTCGCGTTCTACATTTTGCTTATCAGGACGGTCTATAACGTAGAATAGTATAGAAAAAGAACTATAGCAAGTTTTTATACAGCCCCCCTTTCCTTCGTTCACTTTTCTCTACATTTTGTTCGATACTCGCTAAGCGATAATTGTGACGAACAAATTGTACGAATAAAATAAATAACGCGATACTGAAGTTGAAAGCGAAAGCTTTGTCGGCAAGTTTTGTATGATTGTTTCGGTGTTTTTAACAAACGCGACGATAATTATTGTCAGAATAAACGAGTTTGCTAAAATACTCGTACATTTGAAGAGTGCAATAACTTTTTAAAAATAACAGAGGTCTATGTGTGCACAAGCGCATACAGGAAAAAAGTTTATTTGAAATTCCATCTTGTACATTCAGAATAAATATCCCATCGGAACCTTGAACCGTGCTGAGCTGCTGTTTTTTGTAAACTTATAACTGCCGTAAACCACAATGCCATCCTTCTTTGGAGTTTATGCATGTGCCTATCTATTCTTCCCCTGCGACTGCGTCTATTTTACTAGCTTTTCCATCGTAAAATACGCCATCACATGTGCGCTCCGATTTGAAAACAGGGCAGGTAGGTGATCAACCTCGTTAAAATAACCGATGTCCTCCGCGGTGGAAAATATTTTTCGCTGAGCCTAAGAAAGGTTCGCGTTAAAAATTTCTCTGTCGAGTGGTCTTGATGTCAAATCTCATGCAATCTTGAAGAATAATCTCAGTACAACCGTATTGCTGTCTCGCTAATCGAAAAAGGTAAGCAAAACAATTTCAAATAACATTCACGGAAAAGAATATCTCAAAACTGCTCCTTTTTTAACAGGGTAACGGCAGCCGATCGTATCAAATGTTCGAGGGCCATGCAAGTAAGTCGTACGGTAGTAAGGTATTGAGGAAGACTGAATACACAGGAGCCTCGTCAATATGGTCTCTTGAGTACCTTTCCAACCGTTCAGCTTTTACGATCCCACAGTTTAAACTTGACAGGATATCCGACGCTGACGATAACGCGATACCGCTAAATTGATTTTATGCCTTTCAATACCTTAAGCTTTTGAAATTTAATCACTGCTACAAAATGCTTGTTACTCTCCAAAGATTATCTATACAGCTATTAAGGCAAACCAATTTCATTAATCGATTGAATACCTTCTTTCAGAGAACATACTTTTATGATATTTTATTTTCGAGTTGCGGATACGCAGTCATGACAGAAATATTAATCAGCTCAAACGGAAAATATCAGCGATGTTTGAATATGCCTTGTCACGAAACGCATTTAGCTGATATGCACTCATGCAAACGAAGCGTATCACGTTGATCGCCCCTTCGATCTTTCTCTTTCGACAACATTTCGATAAAATTACTTGGTGCAAATAAAAAGAAGAAAAAATAAATAGTAGACACGACGAACTTTTACTCGTCGGCAATAATGACTGATCGCTCGCTTCAAAATATTTATCCATTCGATCTTCCGCGAAAGAAAATTTGCATTTGCCCTCGGTATCTCGCACGCTGCAGAGCCAACATCCAGTTCCCCACAAAAGTCAACTGTGAAAAGAGAAGTTTCGATAAAAAATGTAAACTCTTCTTTTTCACGTGAATAATCGAATGAGTGGTAAAAGTATGCGACTGGCGGTGAAAATCGATAATCCAAACGAAGAAAAGAAGAGAAGAATATAAGAGAATGTATATAAACGCATGCGCAGAAAACATAAAAAATGCAAAAAAAATGTGCCTCGTTAAGTAAATATAAGATGTATATACATATTTGTGTGCGTGGCAGTAAATACGTACATACGAAGTGGGAGAAAGAGCGAGAGAGAGAGAGAATAGGCCCGCATTAGACGACGCATAAATATACCACATGCTCGCGAGCTACGGGTTTAATTAGAGCTAAGGGCTGAGCGAGCGTACGTACGTACGTGCCTTTGCTAACGTTTACTATTTAGGTTAATGGTATTATATTACTCTTGAACATTTCCTTCGCGCTTTTCGTCAATACTTTTCTTAGTGTCGTGCTGATTACTTTCCTCCAAGAAAGAGAACTTTTCGAATTTGCCTCGAGTGTGTTTTGAGAGGTGATGGCTAATTTCAAGTTTCGCTGCTCTCTCACCGAGTTATGAATTATTTAGAAGTTGAAGAGGCCATGTCAGCTTGCAATGCCAACACTCGGAATGAAGTCTTGTTATAATTTTCTCCAATTTTAGAAAGAAAATCTGGTTGTGTATTTCCTCCTTACGAATCGTTCACGTTTGCCTTTCAAATATTCGACGATTATTTAAAGCGATATAATTAATTAATATAAATTTTTTAAATTCATCCGTTGCTGAACAAGGAACATCCGTTCGTTTTAATTAAGATCAATCAGTTGACATGAGTAATGTAACGCATAATTTCGAAAAGCTCATTACCCTTAGAATACAGACATTCATCAGAGATGAAGCACGGTACGGGGTGCGGCGTAGAGACAAGAGACTAGAGAAATGCTCCCGAGAGAACGTTTACGTCTTTCGCTCCTACAGACTTCTTCTTCTTCTTCTTCTACTACTTCAGCAACGCGATAAGCTTCGTTTGCGAGCCGAGAATTTAAAGCAAGCGGTAGTGACACTTGTTCGAAGGCACCCTATCGACTCTCGCGAAGAAAAATGATCGAGAGAAGAAGAAGAAAAAGAAAGAAAAAACAAGTTATCGACATATATCTACATAAACATCATGATGTTGCCAGTGAAACATATTGAGCGCATGACAAAAGGAGAGAAATGTTAGGGTGGCACGGGCAAAACGACTTTTTCTATCTCTTTCTTGAAATAATCGGGAATCATAAATTTCGCCCGTTCGAGCAAGGGATACTTTCATGCGTCGTCTTCTTCTTTTTTTAGCTGACTCGGACATGTGATTTATAACTCATTTTTACCTGACTTGGCTCGACACCATCATCACCTTAGGCACGACACTGACATCTCGCTATATTTGGAAGTATACTACTTGCTCTAGGCAACATTAAAATATCGTTCGTGTTGCCTTTATTTTTTCTCAATATAGTTGATTATTTTCCAATCTATATACCTCATCGAGGAAATCTCTATCGATTTTCTCCTTCTACTATAA